AGAGGGAGCGAGGTGAGAAGGGAGCGAGGGGAGAAGGGAGCGAGGTGGTAACAAGTGAAGGAGGGTCCTCCTTGCCCACCGCCTTCTTAAACACCGCCTGTGCCTTGCGCTCCTCCTGTGGTTGGGAGAGGAGGAGAAAGGGGGCATATGAAGAAAAGCGATGGAATCCCATCGTCCTTTCCCACTGCTAGGGGAAAGTGTGCTGTCACACAGCCACGTGCACATGATCCTCCATCAACAGCTCACTCACTCTCTTACTCACTCTCTCACTCACTCTCTCCCGCTCCCATTCTCACGACCTAACACACCTGGAGAGGCAGCTTGAGCTCACCTGTAGCGCGAGCTTGAACGCCCCCATGGAGGGAAACGCCAGCGCGAGCGCGTGGTGACACACGGCCACCTGCACGTGATTCTCGCCCAGCAGCTTCTCACTCACTGACTATTCCCCTCAGTATCCACTGCAACATGCCCAAACGCACCTGCAAGGCCAGCTTGAAGGCCCCATGGAGGAGAAGGCGAGGGCGAGCGCGTGATGAACACACGGCCACCTGCACGTAGTTGTCTCTTAACAACGTCACACTCCCTCTCTCCCTCTATCAGTCCCTCACACACCTGTAGCGCGAGCTTGAAGGCCCCCATAGAAGAGAAGGCCAAGGCGAGCGCGTGGTGACACACGGCCACCTGCACGTGATTCTCCCCCAGCAGCTTCTCACTGACCCGCACTGCCTCCTGCAGGTACTTCATGGCGTTCTGTAGCTTGCCCATGTCCTGGTGATGGGAACGAAAATAGGATGAAGGCGGGGGGAGGTGTATGAGAACAGACTAACAGCTTCTCACTCACTCGCATCGTCTCCTGCAGGTTCTTCATCTCATTCTGTTGCCTGCCCAGGTAATGGTGAGGGGGAGATGGGTGTTAACGGATGGGGTTGAATGGAGGAAGAAGGGGAGGGGAGATTGACGAAGAGAGAGGCCACTTCGGGGTGGTGTTGCCCGCGGAGAGGGATGCACGTGTAAAGAGTGTATTTTTGAGCGTCTCAAAAAAAACACTTTACACACCTCACTTCGGGATGGTTGTTGCCCGCAGAGAGGGAGAGCAGCTAGAGGGATGGTGCGCTTGAAGTGACTTGCTGCATGCTGTCACCCACACACACCGCACTCCACCCACCCACATACCTCACACCAGAAACCACACACCACAGCTCACACCACACGTACACCCCCATTGGGACACACACCTGGTAGGTGAGCGCGATGTTGACAAAGAGAGAAGCCACCTCCAGGTGGTCGTTGCCTGCGGAGAGCGAGAGCAGCTGCAGCGTGCGCTTGGAGTGACGAAATGCTGGGGACACCCACACACCACACCCACACACCACACACCACACACCACACACCACACACCACCCACCCACACACCACACACCACCCACCACCCACCCCCACACCACACCCACCACACACCACCACCACACACCACCCACCACACACACACACCACACACCACCACACACCACCCACCACACACCACACACCACACACCACACCACCACCCACCACACACCCACACACCACCCACCACCCACCCACCCACCCACACCACCACCACCACACACCCCCCACACACCACCCACCACACACCACACACCACACACACACACCACCCACCACACACCACACACCACACACCACCCACCACCCACCACCACAACACCCACCAACACACACCACACACCACACCACACACCACACACCACAACCCACACACCACCCACCCACACACCTCACACCACAAGCACACACCACACAGACGTACCCCCCTGCTGAGTCACCTAACTGGTAGGTGAGGGCGATGTTGACGAAGAGAGAAGCAACCTCGGGGTGGTCGTTGCCTGCGGAGAGCGAGAAGCCGGAGTGTGCGCTTGAAGTGCCATGCTCCATGCTGACACACCACACCATACACCACACCTACCACACCGCACACGCACCTGGTACGTGAGGGCGATGTTGACAAAGAGAGAAGCCACTTCGGGGTGGTCGTTGCCTGCAGAGAGCGAGAGCAGCTGCAGCGTGCGCTTGAAGTGGCGCAGAGCGAGCTCTGACTCGCCCATGGCATGGAAATACAGCGCCATGTTGCCGTAGCTGGTGGTGTGTGTGTGAGGGAGAGAGGAGATGCGGGGTTGGGGAGGGAAGGCAGTGGTGGGAGTGGAGTGGACAGGATATGGGCAACCATTGGTAAAAGTCCCGGGCAGCAATACATGCAATGCATGGCAAGACATGCCATGGCATGTCATTGGCCATCGCAGAATGTACCATGGGAAGAGAGGCGGGCATGGCATGGGGAGCCATGGTCACCGGGTATCCACGTGGCGAAACGCTATTGGTGGACAGACTGACCGGAAGCACACGGGACAGGTGCACCCGGCTAATTGCCACCATTGAAAGATTCTTACAACGCACCCATCACAATAACATTGTGCAGTGAAATATGAGGCGTAAAGGAGGTGGTTGCTAGTAGAAGGGTGCTGTGCAATGCAATGCAATGCAATGCAATGCAATGTGCTGCCAACCAATTTGCCACCTGGCTGGGCTATGCAATGTGCACCCGGCTAATTTGCCACCTGGCTGGGCTATACAGTGCAATGTGCGAGCAGGAGAGAGGGGTGGCAACTAAAGGGTGCTAACAGGTGCCAAAAGGTGCTAGAGGTTCCCTTCCTCTCCCGTGTATTTGCGCGGGAAAGGGGAAGAGGAGGTTGCAGCCTTGCAGGGGTATAGACGCACCTATGCACGGTGTCGGGGTGATCCGTGCCCACAACGCGCTCGTTGATGATCAGCTCGCGGTGCTGCTGCAGGATGGCATTTCCTGTCTCGCCTGCATGATAGAAGATGAGAGCCAGGTACCTGGGGGAAGAGGGGGGGGGGGGGGGGGGGGGGGTAGGGGGGGGAAAGGAGGGTGGGTCGTATCATATGGGGATGGGAAGGGGCGAAAAATTGAAAGCCTTGATGAAAATAGTGAGGATATTTCGCCCTTTGTCCTCAAGCCTTGAAAGCCTTGATGAGGGCTAACCACAGCGGATAGTGAAGAGATGAGTGAGGAACAGAGGAGAATGAGAGGGGCAAGAGGAAGGGAGGGGGCGAAAAGGGGTTGGGGGGGGGGGGGGAGGGGGACACTATGAGGGATGGAGGGGTGCACAAAGCGAGGGATCGCACAAACGGCTGACTACGACTGGCAGGCATATCTGAATCTATCCCATGCTTACCTGCAGCATGCTGCAACGTCCAGATGAAGTGGCCCGCACACCTGGAAAAGGGGGCGGGGGAGGAGGGGGGGGAGGAGGGGGTGAGGAGAACGAGTGGGGAAGGGGAAAAAGTGAGGGGGGGAGGGGGGGAAGGGAGGGTTGTGAGTGGGGAACGAGAGAAGAGTGGCGGGCATTGGGAGGGAGGAGCGAGACGAGGAAAGAGGAGAGGGAGAAATGCAAGAAGCGAAATGGAGAGAACCTCAAAGGGAAGGGAAGGGGGAGAATGGGTGGAAAAGAGATAGCAGAGCAATAACATATTGCCTTCCTCCCCCACTTCCCCTCCCTTCCTCCCTTTCCCCCTCCTCCCTTCCTTGCTCCCCTCCAATACCACCCCTCCAAACACCTCGCCTTTTTCCCCACCCCTCCAGCCCTACGCTCCCACCTGCTGCAGGATCTGGTAGGCCTCGCTGAGAATCTCAAACGCCGAGTTGAGCGTCCCCTCATGTTACCCACTCTTCCTAGTCCTGATCCAATACCCCCGCCCCTCCCCCCATCGGCCTCTCTGCCTCACCTGCTGCAGGATCTGGTAGGCCTCGCTGAGAATCTCAAACGCGGAATTCAGAGTCGTCTCGTGCTCCCGCAGCCACTGCCCGCTCTGAGGGGCCGCGGAGAAACGCGGGCGCAGAGGCAGGCCGACCTGGGGGGGCGCGAGGGGGGAAGGGTCACAGGGATGTGGATAATAAGAGGCATCGCTTGGAATGGTACCAGAGTCGTCTCGTGCTCCCGCAGCCACTGCCCGCTCTGAGGGGTGGCGGAGAAACGCGGGCGCAGAGGCAGGCCGACCTGGGAAGGGAGGGGGGAGACGGGGGGAAGATGTCGGGGAAGGGATGTGGGAAATGGGACCAGTGTTAGGGGTGCTCGTGCAGTCAGTGCTCCCGCAGCCACTGCCCGCTCTGAGGGGTCGCGGAGAAGCGCGGACGCAGGGGCAAGCCGACCTGCAGAGGGGTGTGGGTTTGGGGTAAATGATGTGGGGAAGAGTGTGTGTTATTAAAGGGGAGCATGGCTACCAGCGCTGCTCATGTGCTGTCAGTGCTCCCACAGCCACTGCCCTCTCTGAGGGGTGGCAGAGAAACGCGGGCGCAGAGGCAAACCAACCTGCAGGATTGGAAGGGGGTGTTTTGAGGAATGGGAAAAGAGGGAGGGGGTTAAATGGAGGCAGGGTAAAAGGAGGGCTTGAGGGATGCACGGAGGGAAAACATGTTGCCTGGGCACGCGAGGTGGGCATGGAAGGGCATGGCATGGCATGGCATGGCAAGGTCAACACACTATGTACCATGGGAAGAGAGGTGGGCATGGCATGGGCAGCCATGGTCACCGGGTATCCACGTGGCGGAATCCTATTGGTGGACATACTGACCGGAAGCACATGGGACAGGTGCACCCGGCTAATTTGCCACCATTTGAACGCCGTGCAGTGAAAGATGAGGAGTTAAGGAGGTGGTTGCTTTGCTGGTAGAAGGTGCTATGAGGTGTGAAAACTTCAAACCCCTCCACCATGCCCCAAACCCTCCCACCGTGCCCACATCCCTCCCATACCTTTGCATACCCCTCCCCGCCCCTACCTTGTGCACAAGGCTCTTGCACACACGCCCCTCCCCTCCCCTCTCACCCTCTGCCCCCCCTTCTCCATACCTTGTGCACGAGGCTCTTGCCCTTCTCCAGCAGCTTCTGTGCGTCGCTGCAGGCGGGTGAGGCGAACTTGACCAGCGGCAGCAGGTCGCACACGTCTGCGATCGCGATGGGTACGTCGCATTCAAGGTTATAATCCCTTGCAGCCAAGACGATGCCCATCTGTGGGAAATCAGAACGACAGGGAGAGGAAAGGGGTTGAGAAGAGATCACAGGGAGCAGGTCGCACACGTCTGCAATGGCGATGGGCACGTCGCACTCTAGATTGTAGTCCCTGGCAGCCAGGACGATGCCCATCTGTGAGGGTAACACAGGGAGCACAAGGGAGCGGTACGGGTGAGGTGAACTTGACTTGCAGCAGCAGGTGGCACACGTCTGCGATTGCAAAGGGCACGTCGCACTTGAGGTTGTAGTCCCTTGCTGCCAGGACGATGCCCATCTGTGGGGTGGGCAGGAGAGAAGGGGCAACAAATGGTACAGAGGGAGAGCAGAAAGAGAGTAAGCGAACTTGGCTTGCGGCAGCAGGTGGCACACGTCTGCAATGGCGATCGGCACGTCGCACTCGAGGTTGTAATCCCTCGCTGCCAGGACAATGCCCATCTGTGAGGGTAGAAAGGGGAAGGGGCAACACAGGGAACATGGGGAGAGATGAGAGGTAGGGAGGGGGCGAACTTGACCAGCGGCAGCAGGTCGCACACATCTGCTATTGCGATGGGCACGTCGCACTCGAGGTTGTAATCCCTGGCTGCCAGGACGATGCCCATCTGTTGCGGCAACACAGGGAACACCGGGAGAAGGGAGCGTGAGGAGGTGAGGAGGTGAGGAGGTGAGGAGGTGAGGAGGTCGCACACGTCTGTAATCGCAATCAGCACGCCACACACAGAGCCGTAGCATTTTTGCAAGCAACGCAATGCCCTTTTGTTCCGAGGGTGGTCCGGTAGGGCAATGCAGAAAGAGTGGGGAAGAAAGCGATACTGCAGGCAGCGAGTTACATTATAGCAAGCAGCTGAGTGTTGAAAGTGGTGGACGGACTGACCTTGAGGCAGATGTTTCGGAGGGTGGCAAGGCTGCGAACCATCTTACGCGTCTCAGGAGGGATCTCAAACTGCACACAGAGCAGGGCAGGGCAGGGGAGGGGAGGGCAGGGGAGGGGAGGGGATGACAGGGGAGGGGAAAACAGAAAAGGGGAGGACAGGGCAGGTGAGGAGGAGGGTGGCAAGGCTGCGAACCATCTTGCGCGTCTCAGGAGGGATCTCAAACTGCGCACAGAGCAGAGCAGGGCAGGGCAGGGGAGCAAAAATTTGCAGGGCAGGCCGGAAAGATTTGCAGGGCAGACCCAGGAAAATAGGGGGATGGACGGAAGCAGAAAATGAGAGATTGCAGACGGCAGAAGCGGAAAACGCAAGGGAGATGGAAGGAAGGAATAAGCAGCAGAGGGATATAACACAGAGGCTGGACACAGAAGGGCGAAGCAGGGGAGAGTGAGCAAGTATACCCTAGCACATCTCTCTCCCACCTAATATCATGCAAGTCACACCCACAATATCCTCACCTAATACTTGTACTTGACGCCTTCATTGATATCAGACCAGACCATATCCGCGGTAATACGAGTATACCCTCCTTCACACCTCTTTCCTCTCACCTGGAACCAGGAAAAGTCACACCCACACCGCTCTCACCTGGTACTTGTACTTGACGCCTTCAGTAATGTCAGACCACACCATATCCGCCGTGATACGAGTATACCCAGGCACATCCACCACAAACAAAAACGCCTCCTTCTTCATTTCACTCAACTCTAGAACCAGGTTTCTGTCTCTCTCACCTGGTACTTGTACTTGACGCCCTCAGTAATATCAGACCACACCATATCCGCGGTAATGCAAGTATACCCAGGCACATCCACCACAAACAAAAACGCCTCCTTCTCCTCCCCCTCCTCCTTCCCTCTTGCCTGCTACTGCACAGCACTTGCACATCACTCTCTCTCACCTGGTACTTGTACTTCACTCCTTCAGTGATATCAGACCACACCATATCCGCCGTGATGCGAGTATACCCCGGCACATCCACCACAAACAGAAACGCCTCCTTCTTCATTTCACTCAACTCTACAACCAGGTTTCTGTCTCTCTCACCTGGTACTTGTACTTGACGCCTTCAGTAATGTCAGACCACACCATATCCGCCGTGATACGAGTATACCCCGGGACATCCACAACAAACAGAAACGCCTCCTTCTCTCCCCCTCCTCCTTCCTCTCCTCCCCATCCTTCCTCTCCCCCCCCTTCCCCTTTTCTTCTTCTTCCCCCCGCCACCCGCGGCGCCGCCCTCGGTTTTGTCCGTATCCCGATGCCGGGGAGGGTGGGCGGTGGGGTGGTGGTGGAGGTGCCGAGGAAGCAGTTGAGGAAGTGGGCAATAGCGCCGGCCACGTCCTGCTCGAGCGTCTCACGGAGAACAGCCTTGAGCACGTGCTTGGTTGCTCGTACTACCATCTCCGCCACGCACAGCCAATACACCTGCTCCACGTCAGCCACTTCTTTTGCCACCTGCATTCTCAAAGGAAGAGTGGGAAAAGAGGGGGGAAGTGGGAGGTGGAGGGGGTGGGGAGGCAGCAGGGGAGGGCGCAGGGGAGGCAGCAAGGGAGGGGAAGCAGTTGAGGAAGTGGGCGATGGCGCAAGCAACGTCCTGCTCGAGTGTCTCGCGCAGAACGGCCTTAAGAACGTGCTTGGTTGCTCGCACTACCATTTCGGCTACGCACAGCCAATACACCTGCTCCACGTCAGCCACCTCTTTTGCCACCTGGAAACACGAAAGGAGGGAGACAGGGAATGGCAGGGAGAAGGAGAAAGAAGGAAAAGTGAGGGAGTGCGGAGCAAGGGATGGAGCAAGGGAGTGAGCAGGGGAGGGAGCAGTTGAGGAAGTGGGCGATGGCGCCAGCCACGTCCTGCTCGAGTAGTGCAGGTTGACGCCCTGCACGTGCATGGTGCTGGCAAGCGCGCAGCCTGCCTATGCTATCACTCACGCACACACCATGCCCCATGCACTCACCCGCCCCAGGTAGCGCAGGTTGACGCCGTGGGCGTGCATGGTGCTGGCGAGCGCGCGCCCATCCATGGGCCATCCCTCGCTGCTCTTGATATCCGCCACCAGCGCTGGCAGCGCCGTCTCAATCAGGTACTTGCCCGCCTTGCGCACCAATGCCTCGTCCTCCTCCACCTCCTGTGAGATATGAGGGAGCGGGGGAATGAGAGGGAGTGATGGGTTCGTTCTCGCCCCTCAGAGCTCTTAATATCCGCCACCAGCACCGGCAGCGCCGTCTCAATCAGGTACTTGCCTGCCTTGCGCACCAACGCCTCGTCCTCCTCCACCTCCTGTTGTGTGTGGGCATGGAAGGTTGAGGCAACGAGTCATGGGTTAAAGTAGTCCCTTCTCCTCGCTGCTCTTGATGTCCGCCACCAGGGCCGGCAGCGCCGTGTCTATCAGGTATTTGCCCGCCTTGCGCACCAACGCTTCATCCTCCTCCACCTCCTGTTGTTGCGTGGGCATTGGGTGGGAAGAGAAGAAATAGACGGGTTAGGTTGGGATAGACAAACTCTCACCCTCACGCTCGATTCGCACTCTCTCAAGCTCGCCCTTCCAATCATCCTCACACACAATTTCACCCTCACTCCTCGCTCTCATCCAATCACCTTGGGATCATCAGCCAGTTTGAACTCAGTGAGTGCGTTTGGGTTGAACAGCACGTCAGGCAGTTCGCCCTTCTCCCTCAGCTCCTCCACCTCCTCTGCGCTTGGCCGCTCGCTCACGCCCTGCTGAGCCATCCACCGCTCCACCTGCTCCTCCCGGCAGAACTTCTCCACCAGCTCGGGACGCAGAATCGCCAGGCGGTTGGCTGCATTGGCCGCGTTGGCAGCGTTGGTAGTGGTGTTGGTGTCGGTGCCAGTGGTGGTGGTGGTGGTGGTGGCGGTGAAATTGGCGTCGCGGGGAGTGAGGCGGATCAGATCCAAAAGGTACTTCCTGAAGGGGCGGTAGAGGGGAGGGAGACAGGGAGTAGAAGGGAGAAGAGGAAAGGGTCAGGCAAAAGAGGTACATCCCCCTCCTCTGCGCTTGGCCGCTCGCTCACGCCCTTTTGAGCCATCCACCGCTACACCTGCTCCTCCCGGCAAAACTTCTCCACGCAGAATCGCCAGGCGGTTGGCTGCATTTGCAGCGTTGGCGGCGTTGGCAGTGGCGTTGGTATCGGTGCCGGTGGTAGTGGTGGTGCTGGTGGTGGTGGCGGTGAAATTAGCGTCACGGGGAGTGAGGCGGATCAGAAGTTCAGAACCAAAAGGTACTTCCTGAGAGGAGGTAAATGGGGGGCAGAATGCAAACAGAAGGAAAAAGAGAGAAAATCAGCAGCGGTGGTGGTGGCGGTGAAATTGGCGTTGCAGGGAGTGAGGCGGATCAGATCCAACATGAACTTCCTGAGAGGGTGTGTGAAACAGATTGAGTAGATGAATAAAAAAACAGAGAATAGACGGGGAGAGGAAGTGAAGAAATGTGTGAGATTCGGTAAGCGTTTGATCCAGAAGCACCTTTCCCTTTCATGTCATCCACTGCTCCGCCTGCTCTGCCTGGTCTGCTCTGCTCCCCCCCGCAGAACTTCTCAGCCAGCTCGTCGGCAGTGGACGTCCATTCCCTGCCCTCCTCATCTCTTCCCAACACTTCTAATCCCTCTCCACCACACACCTGTCACCTTGTGCACAGAACTCTTCATCCCTCCCCACCACTATCCACCGTTTTCCACCACACCTGTCATCGCTGCCGAGAATGCCCTTGGTCTCCACAGGCGAGCACAGCGTCGCCTCCTTGCCCTCCCCGTCCGTCACCTTGTGCTCCTTAAGGTGCATCGCCTTGCCCAGCTCCGCCACCTGAATGAATGAGAGAGAATCGAAAAGCATGGGATAGGAAGCGCGAGCAGGTGATAAAACGATGAGGATGAGTACACAAAGGGTAGTCTCCTTGCCCTCGCCGTCCGTCACCTTGTGCTCCTTGAGGTGCAACGCCCTGCCCAGCTCTGCTACCTGGGAGTGAGAGAGGAGAGAAGGAGAGGGCAGGGGGCAGGGGGTCAATGCACCACTGGCACCAGTTTATAACGCAGCGTCGCCTCCTTGCCCTCGCCGTCCGTCACCTTGTGCTCCTTGAGGTGCAGCGCCTTGCCCAGCTCCGCCACCTGGGAGTGAGACACGCGAAAAACAGGGGGCAGGGGGCAGGAGGACGTGTAGAAAGGATGAGCCCAAGGGTAGGTGAGACAGAGGGTGGGTCTCCTTGCCCTCCCCGTCCGTCAGCTTGTGCTCCTTGAGGTGCAGCGCCTTGCCCAGCTCCGCCACCTAAACGCACGACACGAGCACCAGCAGGGAGGAAAGGGTGAGACGGCAGGGGCAGATGAGACAACAGGCAGCCAGATGGCAGGCGAGAGAGAGGGTTCTGCAGCGTGTGTCTGTAGACCCGTACAAATGTCTTTCACCGACACACATGCAACCACACATACATCATCCACAGTCATGCACACCTCAGGGTGAAAGAAGTTGGCTCCTCTTGATAGTCCTACCCTTGCTCACTGAACCACATGAAATGATGCACTGAGATGCCTTCACCCCTCCCTAACTCACTCTATAACCACACACATACATTATACAAACATCATCCATCCGCCAGCACCACAGCACCTTGGGGTGGAAGGAGCTCCACTTGATGGTCTTGCCTGTGTCCACCGACCCATACAGCATCTGCGTGGTAACAGTGCCACATGCACACAACGCATACACCCTCCCACCCACCCACACAACACAACATGACCAGTCATCACCCGTGCACACCTCCACCAGATCGCACCTTGGGGTGGAAGGAGTCGCTCCACTTGATGGTCTTGCCCGTGTCCACCGACCCATAGAGCATCTGAGTCGTGCCAGTGCTACACGCACACAAGGCATACACCCTCACACACAACACAACCTGTAATCACCTGCACAACCACCACCACACCTCCATCGCACCTTGGGGTGGAAGGAGTCGCTCCACTTGATGGTCTTGCCCGTGTCCACCGACCCGTACAGCATCTGCGTGGTGCGATCACCATAAAGGATGCCCGGGATGATGCTCTGTGGTAAGGGGAATGCAGGTGGGGGATACAGGAGGGTGCAGAAGGGTACAAGAGGGTAAGGTGTTTGATGGTCTTGCCCGTGTCCATTGACCCGTACAGCATCTGAGTCGTGCGGTCACCATACAGGATGCCCGGAATAATGCTCTGCTCAAACAGAGAGACAAGGCAGGTGGGGGGTACAGGAGGGTACAGAGGGGTACAAGAGGGTAAGGTATATGATGGTCTTGGCCGTGTCAACCGACCCGTACAGCATCTGCGTCGTGCGGTCGCCATGCAGAATACCGGGGATGATGCATACAGCATGCCTGTGAAATCACCCTGTGCCCAACCCACCTGAGCAATGACTCGGTGCCCGCGATAGTCCACGATGGCCATGGCAAGCGAGTAGAGTCCGGGGATGTCAGCGTTGTTGACGGCCATGGTGCCCTTGAGGTCGTTGTTGGACGATGCATACGTCGCCTGCTCTGCCTCCGTCACGGGCGCCGCTGCTGCTGTTGCTGTGTCCTCCTCGCCTTCCTTCTTCTCCCCTTCCTTCTCCCCTTCCTTCTTCTCCCCTTCCTTTGTCTCCCCTTCCTTCTTCTCCCCTTCCTTCTCTCCTTCCTTCCTCTCCTCTTCCTTTTTATCTCCCTCCTCTGTTTTCGCCTCCTCCGCCTTTTTCTCCTCAGCCGCCTCCTGCTCTTTCTTCTCCTTCTCCTTCTTATCCTTCTTCTCCTTCTTCTTCTTGTCCCTCTTCTCCTTCTTCTCATCCTTACTCTCCCCCTTCTTCTCCTCCTCCTTCCCCTCCTCCTTCCCCTCCTCTCCCCCTTCCTTCTTCTCCCCGCCCTCCCCCTTCCCCTTCTTAGCAGCCTCCGCCTCCGCCTGCTGCTTCAGCTCAGCCTCTCGAATCTGCTGCAGTGCCGCAAAATCCCCGTCAACAGCCAACGAAAAGAAGATATTATTATGAACATACATATGGAACCTGTCCGCATCGTGGGGGTTGATAGGCGGAATCGACCGGCCAATCACAGCCTTCGCGCCGCGAACCGCTGAGTCAGCAAACTCGCAGCTGACTCGGTACAAGGCCCGGTCGCGGAGAATCCGGTCTTGTAACGAGTTACGCGGTAACTCCCTGCAGCTCTGGAGCTCCTCGTTCCAATCCCTCAGAACCCCACTGAAATCAATCCCAAAGGGGGCCATTAGAGCGTCTTCGGATCGCGCCACGTCACGCGTGTACTGTAGCGGCCCCGTGCCGTCCGCGCCGCCCCAGATGGGCTTCGCCGCCCAGTCGTTGGGTGGCAGCGGCGCCAGCATGTTCTCGAACGGGTGGCGGTTGGCCTTGCGCTCAATCACCTCAGCAAAGGCTGAAGAGGGGAGGTAAGTGGGGAAGGATATGCAGACACAGAAGGTTTGGGTGGTTAGCAGAAGAAAGAGGGGCATGGAGGGAAGGCGGCAGCGGCGCCAGCATGTTCTCGAATGGGTGGCGGTTGGCCTTGCGCTCGATCACCTCCGCAAAGGCTGAAGGGGTGAGGTAAGTGGGAAGGGATAAGCAGACAGAGAGTCTTGAGTTGGTTCGCAGTGAACAAGGGAACAGTGAGGAAAGGGAGTGGCGCCAGCATGTTCTCGAACGGGTGGCGGTTGGCCTTGCGCTCAATCACCTCAGCAAAGGCTGAAAGCGGGAGGGTTAAGGGAGGAGGGGAGGGCAGATGGAAGAGTAACTCACTTTTTTGTAACTCCAACATAGCTGGTGTGTGTAAGCCTTCAATCCGTCTGAAAGAAATTTATTTTATCCTTTTGAAATCTGGCATGCTAGTGTGTGAGTGAGTGACATGAAACCCTGACCCACAGAAAGGCATAACGGGCATAAACCCTGAACCCGCGTTATCCTCAAACCCGTACACATTCCCTATATGGCACGCGTGGACGCGTCCATCTTGGGCTCAGCAGGGCGCGGGTCCGGCTTGCTGCAATTGGTCCTGACAAGCTCTCTCTCATAACCCGCCTCACCATGCTCCTCTTACCCTTTGAAAAGAGAGGGCTGATCTGCCTCAACAGCCCAATCAGCGTGGACGCGTCCATCTTGGGTTCAGCAGGGCGCGGGTCCGGCTTGCTTCAAACCGCTCCTTACAGGCTCGCTCGCTCTCTCAATCCGCCTCACCTTTTGCCAAGAGCAGGGTCCTCGCCTTACCCTTTGAAAAGAGAGGGCTGATCTGCCGCAGCAGCCCGATCAGCGTGAACGCGTCCATCTTGGGCCCAGCAGGGCGCGGGTCCAGCTTCAGACAACTGGTCCTAGCAAAATCTATCTCTTGCTCTCCCAATCAGCCTCACCTTTAATGCATAGTGTCGTCTCACCATTGGAGAAGGGCGGGCTGATCTGCCGCAGCAGGCCGATAAGAGTCGATGCGTCCATCTTGGGCTCGGCAGGGCGCGGGTCCAGCTTGCTGCAACCAGTCCTCCTCACAGACTCTCTAGGTACCACGGCTTCTTACAGGCACTCTCAATCCGTTTCACTCAGGTCTCACCTTTAGAAAAGAGAGGGCTGATCTGCCGCAGCAGCCCAATGAGAGTGGACGCGTCCATCTTGGGTTCAGCAGGGCGCGGGTCCAGCTTGCGGCCGCTGCCACTGCGGTTGACAAAGAAGCCCCTCGTGTGTGCCGTCACACAGAAGAGCTTGCCTTCTGCTGTCACCACCTCCAGGTACACGAGGTCGCCTTGGAGCCTGCAAGGAGTGGCACAAGGATGGAATACGGTTGAAAGGGGTGAAGAGCGGAAACAGCAGGCGCAAGTGGCACTGCCACTGCGGTTGACAAAGAAGCCCCTCGTGTGCGCCGTCACACAGAAGAGCTTTCCCTCCGCCGTCACCACCTACAGATACACCAGGTCGCCTTGCAGCCTGGTATGGTGGGGGGAGAGAGTTGCGAGCTGGATGAAATGGAGACAAACCGTAATGTAAGTCAAAAGAAATTAAGTCAAAAGAAAGTAAGTCAAAAGAAAGTAAATCAAAAGTTGTGCTTTCTTGTTTCAGTTCAGTTCACCACGGTTGGGCTTCGGAGATACAGGCAAGGAACCAACTTATGTGGCGTCTTATAACGGGGATGATCTCACCTCCTGGGGCTCTGGACGGGGTTGAAGGAGGAGAACGCGATGCTCTCCACGCACACCGGAGCCGCGTCCTCGTCCGCGCCGCCCTTAACCATCACCTTGGCCAGCTCGCCCTTGGGATCATCGCCCAGCCCCACGCCCTCCCTGCTCCAGCCACGCCATCTCCTCCATCCATCCACCCTCGCCCCTCAAGAGCTGTTACTTAACTCACCTCGTCGGCAAGGAGGGAGGAACCAGAAATCAGGAGGAGGAAGGAGTAATCTCACCTCCTGGGGCCGGGGACAGGGTTGAAAGAAGAGAAGGCGATGCTCTCCACACACACAGGCGCGGCGTCCTCGTCCGCGCCGCCTTTCACCATGACTTTCGCGAGCACGCCCTTGGGATCATCGCCCAGCCCCACGCCCTGCTCCAGCGACGCGATCTCCTCCACGCGCGCCTTGCTGCTCGGAAGCTTCGCCTTGCGCTCCCGCTCCTTCTCCTTCTCCCGCCGCTCCTTCTCCTTCGCCTCCTCCTCCTTGCTCCGCCGCCCCTTCCCCTTCTTCCCCTTCCCGCTCTTCTTCCACTCCCCGCCCTCCTCCCCCTCCTTCTCCCCGTCCTTCTCCCCCTTCTCCCCCTCGCCCTCCTTCCCCTCGCCCTCCTCCTTCTCATCCCCTCCAAGCTCGCGCTCCGTAGCCAGCCCCTTAACTAGCTCATATTCCGCCGCCATGGCCGTAGACGCGCTAGAGTACGACCCGGCCATCGATATAAGCTCCCTCGTTTTACGCACGTGCAGCCGCACCGCGCGGTCGTCGTAGAACGTGTTGAACATCTCCAGCAGGCACCCGCCCGCTGCCACGTCAGCAACCTCCCCGATCTCCACGTAATCCATCAGGTGGTAACGCAATCCATCCGGCTTCGTGAGGATAAGGTCGTACGCGGTATAGAAGCACGTCTCGGGCGCGTCGGCCAGAAACTGCTTCAAATCCATTACTGTGTCCGCTGGGTTCACCTGAAAGGCCGAGTTGGAGCGGGCAAGGGGAGGGGGGGAGACATATAATATAATATTGATACGTGGGGGCATGCGTCAAGTCAGGTCTACCCCAAGCATCTTCCATGTTTCCTAGATCCAGACGGGGGTTGGGGGGTCGGCTAGCTGAGACTATATTTGCTGGTCTGTACTTTCGCTAACTCAACCGAAGCACAGTCTCATACCAGTCGACTCCACACGACACTACCCTCCTCAAGAGATACGAGACCTGATTGTTTTTATGCTTTGGGACGCCTCATGACTAGGTTTTGCCTAAACTTGCTGAATGCGGCTGCTGATTGCATCACGACGATACAGCTGGAATTAAACTCGCGTGGCAGTGCAAAGACCCTCAATGCTTGCCAGCGATGCATCGGTCATTGTTGTTGTTGCATCGTTAAGTCAACATTCCCGCGGCCAGCCCAGCCTAACTCCACCTCACCAGTCAACCAGACCCATCACCGCGAGCAGACATAATCTCTTCTCCAGCGGGGCATTACCGATTCTGTCCTTGGCTCTTTATCTTGCGCGCCGAGAATTCGTACCCGCAGCCGTCTAAATCTAGGTGAACGTACCTGCAGCGGTCTCGACCTACCTGCAGCTCGATCTCCTCTCCGGCAGGCCCCTTCACTGCAAGAGGATACAGCTAAAGCTCATCCGCGTCCTTTGAAGTCAACTCAAAAGCGGCCTGATCCTACCTGCAGCGGTCTCGACCTACCTGCAGTTCGATCTCCTCTCCGGCAGGCCCTTTCACCGCAAGCGGATACAGCTGAAGCTCGTCCGCGTCTTTCTTGGCAACCCCATCGCCCTCACCCTCTCCCTCCCCCTCCCCCTCTTTCTTCTCCGCTCCCTCCCCTTCCTGCTTCTTTTCCTCCCCCTCCCCAGCAGCAGCATCTACTGCGGGAGACGCATCGACCGCGGCTGCATCGGCGGGCTTCTGCTCTTCCGCGGCTGCGGAAGCAGCTGGCGGCGTCGTTTCCGCGTCGTTTCCCATGACGTCGTACCCGTTGACACGTATCAGCCGCTGACCGCTTAGGCGGTTCTGGGATCAGTACCGATTCGCTGATTGATCCTGGAATCTGTAACGCCGATTGATCAAAGAAGAATGGAACGGAGGGAGGAGAAATGGAGACATTGAGAACCGAAAAAGGTAAGGCACGAGAGAAAAATGGAGATCAGACGGTCCACCACAAAATACTACATCACGCTTGAAATATCCACGTTCATTAGACAAATTATTGCTACAATGCCTCGTTATCACTAGGATTTAGTCCGTGCAGCTTAAAACACTCACGTTAACGGGACCAGTCAGACAAGCGGAATAAACCGCCGAAGCCTAACCAAGTAGCCGTGAATGGGAGATTTTTAGGGCGCAATCCCAGGGTCGGCGGTATGGCCGAAGTGGCCCAGCTGAAAAAGTAGGGTCCTAAAGAGGAGTAACAGTTAGTATACTAATCTGTGAAAGGGATAAAGAATGGCGGGGAACGGCGGGGGAACGGCGGGGGAGCGGGGGAAGAAAATGGGGGGAATGTGCAAAAATTGACCGGCAAAGGGGGAATGTATGCAGCGGGAAATGTAGGGGCGGGGAAGGGCTGGCGGAAACAGGAAGGAATGGAGCTGGGGGACGATGAGTTGGGCAGAGGAGGACATGTGGGAAGTACAGAGGTGGATGAGGTGGGACGCGTGGCGGGTTTGTGGTTCTTTGGATGACCAATCTCTGGGTGCAGCGTGGCACGGTACAACAAGCAGAAGCTCTCGAAGTCCCACGTCAGTCGTTAGCGAAATGAGCTGGACCAGGATACATTCAACAGGTTACAGAGTCCATTTAGCTAATTACCAGCCCAGACATTTGGATTCATGACTCATATTCAAACATTAGTAAGTGGAGCTGTTCTCTTCAGAGAATTTTACATTTCCTTATGTCTTACATCTATTAACATGCATGCATAATTCATCACTTAAGTCCCATCTCTTAAATGTTACCGGTATTACACTGTTTTTTTAATGATTTCTGTAAATATGTGTCATGAAACTCCAGAAAATCGTATATAAATCACACTCAATACATTGCAATGTTAGCCAGGTTTCTGTAAGATGTTTGAGATAAGTGTATCCAAGTAAATTCCAAGTGTTTTGTTCACAGCCACCACATGACCGATGTCAAGAAACCCCCAACCCTTCGCACTTCCCGCAGCCTTCGCCTCTCCCCCAAATTGTGGTCGTCCTATCAAACCCCGAACCCTTTCCGCCCCTCGGACTCCCTCTCTCGTTCCCCCGACCCCCCACCACCCCCGCTCCCCCCCGACCTAAACCCCCATCTGATCTCGTACCTTCTTCCCGCCTCCTCTCCTAACAAATCGTCAACCATAAAACTCCTCAGGTCTTCGAGTAATTTATGTATTCTGTTTTTTCCCATTCCTCACCGCTTCTATGTATCTTGTCGTTTCGACTGTCTCGCCTAACTGAGGTCATGAATGTCGACGGGGGGCTACTTTGGCTGCTCTATAACTTGCCGGGATGAGAGGAGATACCTTCTAACAGGAACCATGGGAGATGCACCATGTGAAACGCGCGTTAAGCCACCTTGATTGGCTGACTTCTTGACGTAAACAGCTGCAGAGCTGGTTATTCGGCCGTTGTCAGAAACCCGCCGCACCAGTGTCGCATTTGGAACGTCATTCTGTTGTTAGTGCTGGGGATGTTGCTGCGATGACTTTTTCACGGCCCTTCATGATAAAATGTGAGTTTATTGCGAGGTTCTGATTTTAGACTTCGTTGTTCTATTAATGGCGTCCGCTCATTTCTGTTATTATGTTTCTCGAATTTCTTAGTCAATGGCTGGCATATGATGCGACAATAAGCTATCACTTATGCTACACTCTGATCGGATCGATGGATCCGTGCTGAAACAACCTTACACCTCTGACAATCTGATGCCAGGCCTTTGCCCTCGACCTCATGTTCGTCTATGTCATGGGGCACGCTGAATTTTTTTGTTTTTCTCGTTCTCTGATTATTATGTTGATTTGCGAGTTCTGTAGTCCGCGCATTTCAATTTTGCCGTTTCTCACAGTTCTTGATTAATGGCTGGCATATGATGCGTTAATCTATCACTTATGCTCTGATCGGATCGATGATCTGTGTGGACAACCTTACACCTCTTAAAATCTGATGCCAGACCTTTGCTGATGTCGTCATGTTCGTCTATGTTATGCTTCAGTTTCTCGCAGTTCTCGTTCTGATTATTATTTTGCCAGCATTCTTGTGAGCACAGTCAATCTACTCCCCCCTGGGCTGAGCTGAGATCTGATGAAGTTTCAGTCCCATGATTGTGCGAGAGCTACTCGGTGCTTCGTGTTGCGGAGTAACGACTTTTCTCGTGTGTGACTCCGTGTCAAAATAGCCCGTACATTGCATTCTGCGTACAGCATGGATATAGTGCTTCAGTGCACTTGCTGCTCTGATGCCTAATCTTTGTTTCATCCTTGATTTGTGCTTCTCAGGTGGAGGAAGAGAAGCTTGAAATGTCACGTGACCACGACCACAAGGATGTGAGGGGATTTGAAATGCCATTTTGTTTTGAAGAAACCCATTTGGTGTCAGAAGAAACGGGAGAAAGGTCGTAGGCGAACCTGCAACCTGCACCGGCACCTTGTGTTATTCAACGTGATTGTCCATTAATGTAGAAAGGACACCTCTTTTCATGATGTTTCATTGAAGTGGTTGAAGGTTTACGTTTTGTTCCCAACAGACTGTAAATCATAGTCCCCATGGACAAGTTGTCTTCTTACTAGCCATCTATCCACCCTAAACCATGATCAAGGTAATTCGGACGATCACGTAGGTCTGTCGATTCAGCTTCCGTCAGTATGTGGGGCAAAGAGTGACATGTAACATAATTTCTTGATGGTTTGCCTTGCTAACTAGCGCACAGGTGAGACACGAGAAAAGGAAATAAAATTTCTGAAAAGATCTGTACACATGAGATCCACAAACACACTACAGATCCACTGAAGACACAACTAACATCTTTGCTACTAGCTGGGACGATAGTATCACCAAGTGCTTGAGAAATCGAAGCAAGCGACTAAATAGATTATGGCAAAAGAAACGCTTTAGCACTTAGAGCAGGTGCAGCTGCTACCGCACTTGCACTCGCCACCGCTGGCGCAGCCGCAGCCACCAGCAGCAGCGGTCTTGCATCCGCAAGGGGCGTTCTCAGCAGTGCAAGTGCAGCCTTCTCCGCAGCTGCAGGTAGCGCCGGCGGCGGGAGCAGCGGACTTGCATCCGCAAGGGGAGTTCTCCGCAGTGCATGTGCAACCCTCCCCGCAGCTGCAAGTAGCGCCAGCGGCGGGAGCAGCAGCGGACTTGCATCCGCACGGCGAGTTCTCGGCAGTGCAGGTGCAGCCTTCGCCGCAGCTGCAGGTGGCGGCGGCAGCGGTCTTGCAGCCGCAAGGGGAGTTCTCAGCGGCGCAGGTGCAAGCCTCGCCGCAGGTGCAGGTAGTGGGAGCCATTGTGCTTGTCGAACACCGAATGAAGGCCAAACACTAAAGGTAGTCAAGAGCGAGAATTTGCAAGAGCTTAGAGTCGTAGATCAAGTAAACGGGATTGGAAATCGGGATGTCGAGATTGGAAAAGCGATTGGTATTTGTAGGCCCGCGTCGCGACAGACGTGACGTGGAGGTGTTGTTCGTTTTTTGCGGCGCGCTGGAGCTGAGGCGGGCGTGCGGATGCACTGTTGGCGTGTGTCACACAAGCAAGCAACGCAGCGCGCTTCTAGAATGTTCGAAAGAGGCTAATCCGGCTTCCTACTAACTTCGTGGAATGTTCCAGGAACTTTGATGCTTTCGAAATCATTTATAGACAATTTGAAGTGTCGATGCCTGACTTTCAAGATGGTTCAAATCGAAGAAACTTTTAAGCCGATCGAGAACCAAGGTTCAGTAGGTAACGCCACTGCACGTTATAATAACGAATGAACGCCTTTGCGAGTGCCATCAGCGGTGTCGACACATCGCCATGACACGTCGCAAAGTCGCCACGTCGCCTATGTCGCCACGTCGCGCACCTGACACCACAAAGCAATTGCGTCCAACATCAAAGCAATGTGCGGTTACCAGCCTTCGATTTCCCGCCAAATTCATCCCCCACCTTGGCGACCGAACTGACATCTAGGTTTCCCCCTAGGGAATGACAAGCTGCTCGTGTATAGCCACTAATTCAGCTGCGTTGGCCTTGCTCCATTGACCTTGCTTCATTGTAAAAGCTGCTGATAAGGAAAACATATCTATTTATCTACCACCCAGTTATCGCACGGCCTAACTTACGCTTTTCGAGCTCTGTATTCACGTTGAGATAAATTTCCTCTGTTTCCGCTGTGGAAGTGCTGCGAATAAGTGCGTCCAGTGTTCGAAACTGCACATAGAAATGGAAACCGTAGTTTCAGGCGATGCGGGGAGCCCGGACGTCCCGGCCGTGGAAGTCACGGCCATGCAATTCGCTTATCCCGGCGAGCCGCCGTTAATCTCCAAGTTCAATCTGACATTGCCACGTGGCAGCCGTTGCCTTCTGATTGGAGCCAACGGTGCAGGCAAGACGACTCTCCTGAGAGTATTGGCGGGAAAGCACATGGTTGGTGGAAAGGACGTCGTTAGAGTTCTCGGTCGCTCGGCCTTCCACGACACATCGCTCTCCTGCGACGGTTCTCTTGCCTACCTCGGTGGTTCCTGGAGCAAGTCCGTCGGTTGCGCGGTGAGTGTGTCGTGTAACGCATCTGCTTACATGACGTATGAACAATGACCACTCCTGCGACGGCTCTCTTGCTTACCCTGGTGGTTCCTGGAGCAAATTCGTCGGCTGTGCGGTGAGTTAAATAAGAATGTGCACTAGAAGGCACGTAGCTTTTGTGTCACGGGTTAATGTCTACGTGTGATTTGGTTCTTGCACAAACTCCTGTAACAATAGCAGTGATTGGACTCAATGGAAACCACGACAACAGCTCCACGCTGTTTGTTGACTTCCAAAGCAGCATAAAAGTCATACTGTGAAGCACTATTGTGCGGCTCTAGGTTGCTCTACTGCTCCTTCACAGAAACCATACGGTTTGAGGCGCTCTGTACCATCACTGTCAGTCAATGTCATTCATGCACGGATCCTCTCATGCGCAGACTTTTGAGGCGCCTGAAAAGTTTTCAGCCATGCACGGACCCTCTCACATACAGGGTGTGACGTAGCACCTCACACTGCTGGTCTCAGTTGCCACCATTTTGTCAATGCATTTCACAACCCCGAAAAATGTTAGGGCCAATTTGCAGAGTTGTTGATTCTCTGTCCTCTACATGTTATGTCCTTATTCTCTTTCCTCTACATGTTATGTCCTGATTCTCTTTCCTCCTGTGTTACAGGGCGAAGTTCCCCTGCAGGGAGACTTCAGTGCAGAGCACATGATTTACGGCGTGGCTGACGTGGACGCAGCGCGCAGGGACCACCTGGTGGAGCTGCTGGACATTGATCTGACGTGGCGCATGCACCGCGTGTCAGATGGGCAGAGGAGGCGAGTGCAGATATGCATGGGGCTGCTGCGACCTTTCCAGGTGAGCTGCTGTTGATGAGAGCCCTGATTTTACCCGGCATTGCCAGGTGGAGCTGTAAGCTTCTGACCTCTCATGGCGTATGCGCTGCATGCGGGGTGGGTAGAGGAGGAGAGTGCTGACATGCATTGACCTGCTGCGACCTTGGAGCAGAAATCAGTACAGGGATATTGAGGCTGCTGGTTGGGGTGACATTGGACTTACATGTTGTCATCAGGTTGGACCTTGTTCCTTCACTCCCGCTCCTTGCAATGCCATGGGTACTGCTGCAGGATGAGGGCTTGTTATCGCCAGATTGATCTTATATTTTGATCTAATTCCAACCCTCCTCATGCTTTCGGTGCCGCTGCTGGATGAGGTGATAGTGGACCTAGGTGTCGTGGCCAGCTTACGTCTCTCCTCCATTCGTTTCTCCCAATCCCCATGCCACAGTTTTTGCCGTTGGATAAAGTGACAGTGAATCTAGATGTTGTATCCAGATCGTGCCATCCCTTCATCTAATCCCACACCACTTAACCCACCCCCCCCTCTCCCCCCCCCTCTCACTTGCCTTGCCACAGGTGTTGCTGCTGGATGAGGTGACAGTGGACCTAGATGTTGTCGCCAGGATGGACCTCCTTTCTTTCTTCCAACAAGAGTGTGAAGAGGTAAGCTGTGATGTGTGGGAGGTGAATTGGAGAGGTCAGAGCTGTTCAGGGGAAACGCATTCCAGGATTACATGAAGCAAAGCAATGCTTAAAGTGTCATGCTGTCTGCCACTCTATGCTTGCCTGGAGGGAGTGTGCTTTTTCAGTGATTTCCTGTTTTGCTGTCAGGCTCCCAATATCAATCCTGCTGATTTACCATGCTCAATGTTTTCCCCTTTCCCTTTGTGTTCTCCTATGCAGAGAGGAGCTACAGTGGTGTACGCCACACACATATTTGACGGCCTGGAGTCTTGGGCAAGCCATCTGGCTTTTGTCTCCTCTGGCAAGCTGCAGAGGCTCGAGTCTGTGGAACAGTCCCCTCTGCTACACTCATCAACGCAAGAAACTGCTGATTTACACAAGCCAATTTCTTTGCAAGTGCCATCATTGCTGGAAATGGTAGAGCCTTGGCTGAGGGAGGATAAGGCGAAGAGGGAGAAAGAGGTGGAAGAGGCAAAGAAGAGGGGAGATGTGCCTAAAAGAGTGGATCCTTTTGCTGGTGCTGGTAGGCACATGGCATACTATAGATAGTTGTACACTGTAGCACTGGTACGGTATGAACTGGCAAGTAACGGCAGGATGCGGAATCAGTGCAAAAATCAGGCTGCTGTTGTCCAGCATACCGAATCTTACTGTGGACATATGTATCCCGTCGAATTCGTGGTCTCAATACAGATTAGTATGTTACTGCCACCGATTAAGTTTCACCAGATGAATACAATTCTACAGTTCATGCAAATCACCAATCTAGCCAACAATGCCACCCACCCATCCAAAACAATACAATCCAAAACAAAGCAACTGAAGACCTCGCTTCTTATTACCCAACCCACTTATTAGGCATGGCTATACGCGGCAAATGCGCAGTCCGTAGCGAGCACACCGGTAGCCTCATAGGAGCGGGGGGTTCCGTCAAGGAAGCCCTTGCCCTCCTCACCATCTGCGGAAACGGGGTGGTGCACAGCGGCAACCAGCTTCTGGAAATCCACTGCCCTCTGCGCATGGTCCGCGCGGTAAGTCTGCCCCAACACGCCGTGAATCGCATCCGTGTGCGTAAATTCCGCCACCCCCACGTTCATGTGGACTTCCGCGTCCGTTGGGGTTTGGAGCTTCGGCTGCGCTATGCGCATCTTCACGTCAAGCGACAACAGCCCTTGAATTTCCAGAGTGTAGTAATCTACATCGAAAGGGCCTTCTTTCTCTTCTGCCTTGAATGTGATCGTGAGGTTGGTGCCGTTGGATGGAACGATAATGTCACCAACTCGCATGCGCTGCTGAAGCTGACCGTCGATTTCAATCGCCTTCATGAATCCGTCGCCTCGGCGCTGCTGCTTGCCATTTCGTGCGACCAGACGCGCGGTGTGAGTCGCACCATTCGCGAACCACACGATCCCAAGCTCCCTGTTCGGCAGGAGTGGGGAAGGACAGGACGGAGGGGGGGGAGGACCGCAGAGAAAAACAAAAACAGAGGGCGCGAGATTTAGGGTTGTGCCAAGCAGAAGGAGAAGGTATCCTGTCGTAACCAAGGCAGACTAACAGTTAGGGAGAGACGCCACGGTGAGTATCGCATCACGAGAAAACGAGACTCACTTAATCCACGTGTGAACAGCCTTTCCATCCACAACGAGCGTGGCGTTTCTCGTGTCCTCGCTATAGTATCCTCGCAGCATCATGTTCACGTGGACGTCACGGTCCGTTAGCAGGCAAAACGCGCGATCCGGACGGCCGTTGAAGTCGTAGCGCGTACCGCGCGCTCCCACAAAATGCGGGTCATTGTAAGCGCCAGGGCGACAGGCCCCGCTGCGCTTACCGTCCCAGTAATAAGCCTTGCAATCCGGTGCGCCCCGGTAGATTTTACATTCGTCGGGGCTGTGTGGGGAATCAAATGAGAAAAACAGGAACGACCAATCATAATCAGCAATTGATTAGCGTCAGCGCGGCGCTCAACAAAGCACACCGCGTGAACTAGTGGACCGTATATTCAAAATAGATGGACCATATATCGAAAATAGGTTCAGTCCCGGCACTTACAAGGCGGGTTCTCTCTCGTCAGCGGGGATCCCGGGAATAAACTGCCAGAACGTGCATTCGGGGTTAACGGAGCAGTCATGGCAGCACGCTCCCGCGTCGATCCACTGAATGGAGTAAAGCATCTGGTCGTCCATCGCATAGCGATCAAAGCCTCCAGAGAACCCCGGGCTGTTGGTGGTGCATGTGCTGGATGAGCTGGAATTTATCGCAATCAGACACCTCTGATACATCTCATCGCGAGTCCTCGGTGGTTTATTATCTTCGAATGGCCACGCGTGAGTTGTGGAAAAGAGGAGTGCCACAAAAAGCGGTAGGGCCAGAACCATCACGCGGCTGGCGTTTCTGAAGCTCATATCTGTCGTCATCTTCAAGGTGAAACCAAGTTGGTGATAACCACGCCAAGAGATGGAGATACGAGGCCAATTTGGCTGTGATAGCTCGCTGAGGAAGAATGTTCAGTTCGGAAAGAGGATCTCACTGAATATGGTGAACTGACGGCAGCTCAGCTCTCTCACTAGCCGGTCCCAACTCAGCCGTCCCAACTCATCTGAGGGGGGTTGCCTCGGCAGAAATGAGAGACGGCAGTGGTGGTGGCCTTGAGGTCGCGTCCCGTGGTTTTTTCACATGTCATCTTTGGCTGTGCAACCAGAAGGGCGGGTGAATTAATGTTTCTCATATCCGAACTACGAAATCGGGCGACGCAAGACTCTGGCACTGTTCGCCACGCCTTTGCTGGGCCTCCAAAGGGATGGGCGGGGGATCCGGAATCCGCCCAGCACCTTCAAAAAGGGCTGAAATCAGGGTTTTAGGGCCGGTCAGGCCGACGAAATCCTGTCGAGCCTGACGACCCCTTCCGAACCTCGGTGGGCTCGCTGTCGTGGCGAACACCCACTTTTCTGGGCCATCAAAGGGATGGGCGGGGGATCTGGAATGCGCCTGGCAGTTTCCTGCCCTGCCAGCTCGGAACCCCATCCCCTCCCTCGACTCTCCCCCGTGCAGACCACCAATTTCGTAGGCGTGTAACGGGATGGCCGAGATATCTCGCCCTAAAGGAAGGGGGGAGGCAGGTGCTAGATCCCCTTGTCCCCCTTCCTGATCCCCTTGACGAAATTTCCAGATCCCCTTGCCCGACGGCGAGCCCCCGGACGTAGTTCGCACCTTCAAACACACCTTCCGGATCCCCCGCCCATCCCTCGCCCCTTGCCTTTAACGTGGTCGTGGCGAACAGGGCCTCTGTGCAAGCGCTTTCGCGCCTCCGAGCCAGCGACAATCTTAGGTGCTCGTAACCAGTCATAAGACTGCTTGTACCGCTGCGATTTTCGGACAGCAATGTCCGACAAATCTGCAAATCTCCGCAGCATGTCTGCAAATCTACTCGGTATGGGTACACCAAATGGGCAAATCGACACTGCGGCAGTTGACAGACGAGTTTGGAACTCGCCCTCACTCGCTCAAGCAGATGTGTGGAGAGATGGGTGGGGAGGGAACAAATCTGGTGTCAGGGGGATGCCTCTGCTGCAATTGTTGTGGGTTTGGTTGGGTTGAGTGTTTGCCCGCCAAGACTACAGTGCATGGGAAAATGCTGTTACACAACCAGTGACTACCTGGGCAGGTTCTGTACAGTACATCTCACCACGGTCGGGTGGTCCCCTGATGACGAGTCGCATGTACCTTTGCCAAAACCACGGTTACTGTATGAGTCGCATAGCTACAGTAACTGGAGCTTGGAAAAACACATGGAATCTTCTTTCTGAACAAAGTGTACAGTATTTGCACGAATGGAAGGTGTACAGTTCGATGGCATGCTTGTTTGTACGCATTTGAACGTGGCGGCTCCAACGATTAGCAATCCCGATATAGCTCTAAAAAACGAACAACTCTTTACACTATTGCTTCTAAAGTTGTGCAAGTTGTAGATACTCCCCCTTTGAGTTGCACACTAGAGATTAAACTTTAACAACCATGATGAGATGTCAATAATTTCTCATGAAGGTCTCCAGCAGGATCTGGCTCATAAGAAACTTTCAGAATAACTAGGCAAGAATGAATGAACTAGCAGAAGTTTGGGTACAAATATGAAACCCTAGTTGGGGTTGTACCCCATATTGGCTACCCCACTACAGCCTACCAACATATAACACATTACAATTTAACACACCCCCATAGGCAAAGTGGGGAGAACAAAGGGTCACAAGACCAGTCCAGCAAAGCAACGCAAGCCCAGGGTGGATCACAACGTCACCACACTCTGAGCAAAAGCAAAGGCTACAAGGCCAGTTCACATGCAGTGCTAGATATAGTACAAGACAAGCAACACAGTGATCAAAACCTAGCAAGCAAGCAACAAGATATATATAAAGTACAGTACAAAGAATGTCAAGCAGTGAGCAAGTGAGGAAACGTGGACACAAGGCCTAAAGAAGTACAGTGCCGCTGATGATCACTAGGCGGGAGCGCCTTGGTGAAGATATCAGCAGTGTTGGCCTTCGAGTCCACGTACACAAGCCGAAGCTGACCGCGCTGCTGAAGCTCTCGAGCAAGAAAGTAGCGAAGAGCAATGTGCTTCGTCCTGTGCTCCAGTCTGTGCTCCTCACACAAGGCAAGAGCCGCCTTGTTGTCACCGTACAGAACTGGAGGAGAACTAGGCCGCTCTCCCAAGTCAGTCAGCAGGTAGGTGAGCCAGCGTAACTCCTGTGCAGCCATGGCTGTGGCGTAGATCTCAGCCTCACAACTAGAGCCGAGAACAGAGGAAGAGCGGGTGGACCGCCACGAGACAGAACCAAAGCCAAGGCTGAAGGTGTAACCCTGTGACGACCGCTGCGTAGCCAGGTCGTCCACCCAAGAAGCGTCCGAGTGGCCAGTGAGGACAACTCTGTCGCGTCCTCCAAGCACCAGCCCCATGCCTGATGTACTGCACAAGTAGCGCAGCACCCTCTTAGCAGCCTCCCAGTGCTCTCGCCTGTGTCTCCCAGGCGCAACGTAACGAGCAAGGATGCTAAGAGGGTACGCGAGGTCAGGTCGCGTGCAAGTCATCAGGTACATGAGGCAGCCCACAAGCTCTGGGTACGGGCCACTCGGCTCTACGGACTCGTCCGGAGGTGGAGCTGAGAGCGAGTGGCTGGTAGCCAGAGGTGTGGCCTGTGGTGAGGAGAACTGGAAGCCGAAGCGCTGAAGGACCTGCTGCACCATGTGTGACTGAGTCAGGGTGATGGTGCGGCGAGCTCTGTCCCGGGTGATCTGCAAGCCAAGGTAGCTACGCAGCTCACCCAGGTCAGTGCAGGTGTGTCTCTTCTGCAGCTCCGACTTCACACGAGCGAGTGCCTCAGTGTCAGCAGTAGCAAAGACCAAGTCGTCGACGTACACGAGAATGTAGAACGGCGGCAGCGACGTGTCTGTGCGCAGAAACAGCGACGGGTCAGCAGTAGACGGCGCGAACCCAAGAGCCGCAAGTGTAATCCTCAGTGTGTCGTGCCACTCGCGTGGCGCCTGGCGGAGACCGTAGACTGGCCGGCGGAGGCTCCACTGGGTACCAGGAGGAAACGACCCAGTAAAGCCAGGTGGGCGGCGCAGCCAGATCTCCTCGTACAGGCTGCCCTGCAGGAACGCTGTGCTGAAGTCAAGAGAGTGAAGCTCGTAGTCACGCTGAGCGGCAACGTGCAGCAGAACCCGAAGAGTGGTCATCTTCGGGGTGGGGGAGAAGGTCTGGAAGAAGTCGACCCCCTGACGCTGACTGAAGCCTCTAGCAACGTAACGAGCCTTGAAGACAGGCGGAGAACCTGGCGGCCGCTTCACCCTGAAAATCCACATGCCATCGACGATGTTCGCCCCAGGAGGGGGAACCTCGTCGACGTAGGTGCCTGTGGACTTCCAGGATGCCATCTCTGCGTCCATGGCTGTCTGCCACTGAGAGGAGTAGGGACCCGAGATCGCCTCTGCGTAAGTGCGCGGAGTGGGGATGTCTAGTGCATCCGGGTCTCCCTCAGGGGCAAGCAACCAGGCCACGAGATGAGGTACAGCAGCCGCGAGAGAGTCAAAGTCCTCCTGCTTGTCCTCAAGGACGTCCGTGCCAAGAGCACACTCACCCCCGACGGACGGAGGACAGACAGACGCAGACTCAGACCCAGCAACAAGGCGAGCAGCGTAGTCTAGACGACAGGCAGCAGCAAAGTCAACCAACTCAGCGACCAGAGCAGACGCAGCCGAGGACTCAAAGGTAGGGTCAGTGACAACAGTAGCTAGGAGACGCGTGACTGTAGGGTGCTCAGCACGATACCGGTCAGACTCAGGGTCCGGAACGGCAGGCAAAGAGGACGCAGGAGGAGACGGCAGAGGGACACGCTGAGGAGCAGTAGAGGGACGCAGAGTCATGTAGTGAGTGCCTGGGACAGGAGGAGGACGCTCACGACGGACACGACGACCAGTGCGAGCAGTACGGACAGGCGACGCAAGACGAGACTCAGGCTCACGACGCTCTGTAAGACCTCCTGTGGGACCAGTGTAAGGAGAGGGAGCAGGGAGAGGCGAGGCAGGCGGTAACTGTGACTGCGGCTGGACAGTCGGAGGACACTCGACGGAGGGAGGAGGACAAGGAGGAGGAGCCTGCCCAAGAACCTGCTGAAGGAGCGGTACGAAGTACGGCCGCGGCCGCGCAGCGTCTCCAGAAGCAGAAGAGACTCCAGCGTCCGGGTCCCCAGCACCAGCAGCAGCGCCACCACTCGGGTCCTCAGCTCCAGCAGCAGCTCCACCAGGTGGGTCCGCAGCACCAGCAGCAGCACCACCCCCAGGGTCCGCAGCACCGCAAGGAAGAGCACCCCCAGAGTCGGCAGCTACAACTCCGCTAGCGCCGCCAGCTCCAGAGTCCCCAGCTCCAGCAGCTCCAGTCGTAGCGCTCCCAGAACAACCAGTCCCGGCAGCTCCAGTACCCCCAGCTCCAGCCGAGCCACTAGGACGGCGAAAGCGCCGGACGTACCAGTCACGAAGCTGCTGTGGTGTGAGAGACTGCTCAGCACCCCGAACCGGAGCACCCCCAGACGCAGCAACCCGAGGCTCCGTAGGCTCAGTAGCAGCACCCCCAGGCTCAGTACCCGCAGGCGCAGCACCCCCAGACGCAGCACCCCCAGACTCCGCACACGCCGGCTCAGCACCCCCAGTCGCAGCACCCCCAGGCTCAGCACCCCCAGGCGCCGAACTCTCAGGCACAGTACCCTCAGCTCCAGCACCCGTAGTCCCAGCACCCCCAGGCCCAGCACCCTCAGGCTCAGCACTCCCAGCAGCACCACCTGCAGCAGCACCTGAGTCACCTGTGACCTCGACAGGCTCAGCGACGGGAGGAGGGTCTACCTGAGAGACACCTGAAGGAGCAGGACCCTGAGGGGGAAGGGGGTCTACCGGAGGGGGACCAGGAGCAAGGAAAAGCGGCGGGGGAGGGAGGGGGGCAGTACGGTAGGGGAAGAGACGGTAAAAAGGGACCGACTCGTCAAAGGTGACGTCCTGAGAGGCGAAGACCCGGCGCGAGGTGGGGTGGTAAAACTGCCAGCCCGGCGCGTCAGGGACAAAGCCAAGGAAGACACAGGGAAGCGTGCGGGAGGAGAGCTTGTCCGCGGACGTATCGCGGACAAGGGCACGAGCACCCCACACCCGGAAGCGCGACGCATCGCCAACCTCCCCCGTCCAACGCAGTGTGGGCGAGGTCTCCGGCAAGGAGACACGGGGCCAGAGGTTGAGCTGATGCGCGGCGTACCGGACAGCAAACGGCCACAGAAAATGGGGAGCCGCCGCGTGGACCAAGGAGGTACGAGCGACCTCCATGACCAAGCCGATGCGGCGCTCAGCAACCCCATTCTGCTGTGGGGAGTCCGGAAGCGTGAAGGTCTGCTCGATGCCCTCCGCCTGACAGAAGGTCCTCAAGAGGTCGGAGGAAAACTCACCACCTCTGTCAGAGTGCAGACGCAGGACAGGAAGATCCGTCCGGAAACGGCGGCGGAGCTGGAGACGAACTGTGCGGATCCAAGGGATCAGAACAGCAGGGACCTCACCCTTGGTGCGCAAGGGGAAGACCGTGGTGTAACGCGAGTAGTCGTCGACAACCAGCAAAAAGTACCGCTCACCGCCCTGACCACGAACGCGGGCTGGGCCCCACACGTCCAGGTGGAGGGTCTGCAGAGGAGCCTCTGTCGGGGGGAACGAGGAGGAGTGAGGAGCGGCGCGCTGCCGCCCCTCGACGCAAGGAAGGCAAGGCGGCGCAGGCGAGGCAGGGAGGGGAGGGAGGGACCTGGGAAGACCAGACACAAGGCAGCGACGGTGCATGCCACGGAGGCGTGGCAAGGAGGGGTGACCCAGGCGGTGGTGCCAGAGAAGAGTCTGGTGCGACAGGGAACGACACTCACAGGCGTGGGCCACCAGACCTGACGCGGACACCTGACCGACAGCAGCGACCTGAGGAGACGCAGTGGTCAGTGTGTAGAGACTCGACCCCGGCCGACGAGTAAACGTAGCCAGGTGACGGCCGGTCCTGGAGCACGTGCAGATCGCCACACGCTGTCCTCCAGGGGTAAAGGTGTCAACCCACTGATCCTGGATGACAGCGTTGCTCACCAGGTTCGTCGAGAACGAGGGGAGGTGGAAACCCGTCAGCGAGCCAGACGGAACCGCCGGACAAGGGAGCACAGTGGTGGACTGGGCAAGGACTGGGCCCCCAGAGGGGTCAGCCAAGGAGACTGGGACCGGTGCAGGAAGCGGTGTGAGCTCAGTACTGTCTCGAAAGAAGCAGCGGGAAGCACCTGAGTCAAGGGTGAAGGTGTGACAGGTCTCAGCCGGTGCAGTACCTGAGAGAGCAGTCTCTGTGGGTGCTGTACCTGAGAGAGCAGACTCGCAAGCAGCAGGGACAGTGCTGGAGGGAGCAGGTACAGGGGGCACCATACCAGAGAGAGCAGACTCACTAGTACCTAGGGCAGCGGGCCCTATACCTGGGTCAGGCGGCACACACAAGTAACAGTCTCCCTCGGCACTAACAGTCAATGCATACATGGCAGCAATAATAGCATCATAGTCAAGAGCAAAGATATCAACACCAGCCCTCATCAGCTCAGCCCAGCGAGGGCGCTCAACATCCTCGCCCATCTCCTCACGCCAAGCGTCGTCAAGGCGGAAGAAGCAGCGGTACTGAGTGTGGAACTTTCCACACGTCTGCCCCTTGCGATCACCTGTGCGAATGACATAGGAACAGCGGCCACTGCCCCCCGACGTCCCACGCTGAGCAAGCCACTCACGAAGCTGCTGGGTCGACTGGGGACGCTGCTGCTGCTGGGAGCTCTGGCCCGAGCCGGTGCCTCCACTCCGACCTCCACCGCCGCCACTACCTCCGCTCCGACCGCCACCACCGCCACCGCCACCGCCACCGCCACTACCGCCACCGCCGCCACTGCCGCCGCTGCCACCACCGCCACTGCTCCCGCCGCCGCCCCCGCCTCCGCCGCCGGCCCCACTCCCACCGGCACTCCCGCCACCGCTCCCTCCAGCACCGCCTCCCCCCCCACCTCCCCCACCCCCTCCCCCCCCAGCGCCACCCCCGCCACCCTTGCCCCCCTTGCCCTTGCCGGTGCGGCGCCTCCCACCAGGAGCAGAAGCAGCGCCAGCAGACTCAGCACCAAGGAAGTCAACAGCAGCAGCAGTAGCATAGGAGGGAGCGAGGGGAGAGGGAGAGCACCCCTCAAAGATGGGGGTGCGAGGAGCGCCGCGAGCAGCACCTACAGCTACAATGCTCTTCTCGGCTGCTATTAGCTTCTCCTCTAGGAGGGCGACAGTGAGCTCAGTGGGACAGCGAGCAAGGAAATAGTCGCGCACTGAGCTGAGGGTGTCAGGGAGACGGGTGACTATGAAGTGGAGTGCCCAGTACAGGGGAGGGGGGTTCTTAGCGCAGAACTCGGTGGGAAGGGCGGCACGCAGGCGAGCATCACTAGTGCGAAGGTGGGTGATAAGATCGGCGACTGTAGCAAAGGTGGACAGGTCAGGGAACAGGTAAGGCAGCATGAGACGGCTAAGCTCGGCTGTGGCAGGTGAGGAGTAGCGAGCAACGACAGCGTCGTATAGGGCTTTAGCGGTTTTGCAGTCGCCAAAGTGCTCTAGCTCAGCTAACGGCAGGTGACTGCGAATAGCCAGGCGAGCTGCAGCGTCACGAGTCTGCCACTGTGAACGTACACTAAGCTCGGCTGTGGCAGCAGGAGCAGCGGCAGCACCAGACGCGTAGTCATAGAGGGAGATGTGGTCCGTGCTATTGCTCATAAGATACAACTGCAGGTCGTCGAGCCAGGAAGTGAACTGCACGGGACGGCCCTCAGCATCGAAGGAAAGAACGCGAATAGAGGCCATAGCTCAGGCGTGAGGGCACAGCAGAGCAGCGGCAGCAGCAGAGGGGACGCGCTAGAGCGAAGCTAGCAGCCACAGCAGGAGCAAGCGGCGGTGCACAGGCAGGAAGCAGCAGCGGGCGGGCTGCGAAGCGGGCAGCGGGGCGGGCGGGCGACGCGGCGAGCGGGCAGCGCGGCGGGCGGCTGCGAAGCGGGCAGCGGGCGGGCGGGCGACGCTGCAAGCGGGCAGCGGGCGGGCGGGCGACGCTGCGAGCGGGCGACGCTGCGAGCGGGCAGCGCGGCGGGCGGGCGACGCTGCGAGGGGCGCGCGAGGGCGCTAGCGAGGGGCGCGCGAGGGCGCTAGCAAGGGGCGCGCGAGGGCGCTAACGAGGGGCGCGCGAGGGCGCTAACGAGGGTGCGCGCGAGGGCGCTAACGAGGGGCGCGCGAGGGCGCTAACGAGGGCGCACGAGGGCGCTACGAGGCTAGGGCACGGGGTAGCGTGGTAACCGCATGCGAGCGGTGGTGGGCCCTAAAAAAACGGTCGGTAGGTCCTAGGGACCTCCTGCTCTGATACCATTTCAGAATAACTAGGCAAGAATGAATGAACTAGCAGAAGTTTGGGTACAAATATGAAACCCTAGTTGGGGTTGTACCCCATATTGGCTACCCCACTACAGCCTACCAACATATAACACTTTACAATTTAACAGAAACCGCTTGTCTTTGGATATGCTAACAAAATTCGTATTTGGTTAGTCTTATGAGTTCATAATACCGTCATACCCCGGATATAAGCGCCACCCGCGGATAAGCGCCTGGCGCTTTTAATTGGCGCATGGCGCTTATATCCGCTGCTAGATTATAAGCGCACCCCCCTGAAAAAACTTGTTTTATTATAAGCGCACGTAAACTTTAAATTTTGAATTGTGTTCGAAACACTGTAACGATTTCTACTTTCGCAGTGTAAGGAATTTTTCGGATTCCTTACTGGATCACACTGTATGCATACAACCTCAACTATCGGAAAACCAGGCTCGGTCCGCCGACCTCGCCTTCCGAGCCACTACCGCGTCGCCTTCGGGTTTTCCAACCCCGAACCTGCACCCAACCATCTCGCGACCCCGCGACCTCGGCCTAGCTAGCTTCGCTATATTAGTCCTAGGCCTCGTTGTGTTCTCAGACGTTGTAATCACTTCCGCGTTATTGAATTCTGCACACTCTTTTGTTCACAACTCATAACACTTGGTATCAGAGCCTAATTTCCTAGGTTACCCTCACGTTTCCGGGGGAAGTTTGTAGAAGGGGAGCGATAGACTTGGTGGGCTGTTAAGCGGTCGGCCCGTGGAATAGATCTGATTATTCCACTCCGACTACGATAGCATTAACGCCTTCACCGAAGTCAGAAAAATCGCGAGCCACCCCCTGCCCGTTAGACGAAGCCTGCGACACATGGAACAGGCGGAGTTCAACGAGTTCATGCAACAGTTCCGGACGATGCAGGCCACCATGCAGACGATGTCTGCAGAAATGGAGCGTCTCCGGAAGGAAAACGCCGAACTACACCAGGCGCGTGGCGAAACGCGCCAGGAGTCGCCTGTCGTGGACGACGCAAGTAGCAGCACTGCACCGGAGGAGCGGCTCTGGGACGAGCTGGAGGATGAAATAGATGCGGATGAAGCGAGGCAGGCGCAGCAGCAACAGTCACCGCAACAGTCGCGTGCAGCACCGACACGTGCAGCAGCGACAACAACGGCGACGCCAGCAGCGACGCCAATGGCACGTGCGAACGACGGGACTTCAACACCTGTCACGCATCAGGCAGCATCGATTTTTGGGACGGCCACGATACGCACATGGAAGGAGTGGGGCGCCGCCTTGCGAACCAGATTCGAGCACATATCCGCCTCGGATTCTGCTCGCATGAAGCTGCGTGCCTGGAAGCAGCTGACTTCAGTCCAAGACTACACCAGCACATTCTGCAACTTGGCGGACCAAGTGGACGACATGAGCGATGCGGAGCGGTTGGATCGCTACGTGGCGGGCCTGAAATACGAGATACAGTACGAGGTCCGACGAACCCGGCCACGCAGCTTCAACGACGCCGTCCGGGAAGCCGAGTCAACGGATGCGCTGATGCAGTGGGCGAGATCGAGCTCCCGGGAGGGCCCTCGATTTCGTGGATCGACTCAGCAGCCCACGATCAACGGCGTGGATGCACCGAGCCGAGCCCTTGGGCCGTGCTTTCTATGCAACCAGCTGGGCCACCTGAAAAAAGACTGCCCGAGGCTTAAGCAGGGGAAGAAGAACGACGGAGAAGGGTCGGGAAAAGATACGAGTCAGTAGCAGAAGGGCCACCTACTGACGAGACCCTGTCGCCCGACAATCACCATCCACACCGGGTCGTGGTACCGATCAGAGCTATCGACCAGAACCGGACGAATAACGTGGGTGAACACGTGGACTACCCTGTGCTGGTGGTGGGGAGGGTTAACGGTTATAAAATAAAAATATTCGTTGACGGTGGGGCGAGCCACAGTCTCGTCAACCTGGCAACGGCCAAAAAAATTGGGGTGAAGCTGACCAGGTGTCTGCCGGAGATCGATGCCAGGTTGGTAGACGGGACACCGCTGGCCATCCGAGATGAAGCGCGAAAAATTCGGATACAGTGCGGCGACAAATTCGGGTTTGGCATGAAGATGTTGGCGACGACGTTGGACGGCTGCGATGTGCTGCTGGGGAGGGATTGGCTGCAGCGCTTCAATCCGACGATCGACTGGACGACTGGGGCGTGCGTCGTGCGAGGATACGGAGGGAAGACGACGCTTCCAAAATGGACGGAGCCGGAGCGTGGCCGGAGCCGGTGACGACACGTGTCAACGCGGTCAACATGCAGCGTGCGATGAACAGCGGAGCTCAGGCCTTCTTGGTGCACCTGTACGAGGTGGCAGCTTCCGAGAAAATCGCGGACATCGACACCCTCTGCGCAGCAGTCCCCGCGGAATCGGCGAGCATCATTCGGAAGTATCCCGAAATTTTCGCGGATGACCTCCCGGATGGCTTGCCCCCCCAACGACCTGAGGATCATCGGATCCAGCTGGAGCCCGGCGCGCAACCTACTGTTCGGACACAGTGGCGGCTCAGCCAACCAGAGCTCGCCGAGTTGCGGGCCCAGCTGGATTACTTGCTCGCCAAGGGATTTATACGGCCAAGCACGTCGCCGTACGCAGTGCTGATACTGTTCACATCGAAGAAGGATGGGGGCCTGCGCATGTGCATCGATTATCGGGCGTTGAACCGGGTCACGATAAAGTCGCGTTACCCGATCCCGCGAACTGACGATCTGCTGGATCAGCTTCGCGGAGCTCGCTATTTTTCGAAAATCGACCTGCGAGGAGGCTACCACCAAATTCGCGTGTTCGCCGACGACTGCCCGAAGACCGCTTTCCGCATACGCTACGGCAGTTACGAGTTCACGGTGATGCCGTTCGGTCTGACAAACGCGCCCTCGACGTTCCAGCTCACCATGAACGGGATTTTTCGGGACATGCTGGACAAGAAGGTCATTGGTATCTGGACGACATTCTGGTGTACAGCGCGACAAAAGAGGACCATCTGCGGGATTTAGAGGAGGTGTTCCGGCGTTTACAGGGGCATCGGCTGATTACGAAGGGGTCTAAGTGCGAGTTCCTGAAGCCGGAATTAGAATTTTTGGGGCACGTGGTCTCTGGCGAAGGGATTAAAATCGAGCCGCGTAAGGTGGACGCCATCGTTAAGTGGAAGCCGCCTACTAATATCCCTGAGTTGCAAAGTTTTTTGGGGTTTGTTAACTACGTTCGTCGTTTTGTACCTAATATGGCAGGGATAACTAAGCCGCTGACCGACCTACTGCACCACGGCAGCGATTTTAGGTGGGGGGAGAGGGAGCAGTCCGCCTTCAACGCCCTCAAAAACATTTTGGGTTCACCCCCGGTACTCCGCCTCGCCGACCCATCTCGACCGTTCGAAGTCGTCACGGACGCCAGCGATTTCGCCGTCGGCGCCGTCCTGCTACAGGACTTCGGCCAAGGGCTGCAACCCATCGCCTACGAGTCACGCAAGATGCAGCCACCCGAGCGCAACTATCCAGTCCACGACAAAGAGATGCTGGCCATCGTCCATGCATTTCGCTTCTGGCGCTGCTACCTCACGGGAGCCGACGTGACCATTCGGACCGACCACAAATCACTACAGTACATGCGCACGCAACCGACACTCAACCCGCGACAAATCCGGTGGTTGGACTTCCTCGAGTCCAATTTTCGGTACACCATCACGTACAAGAAGGGCGCCAACAACATCGCCGACGCCCTCACCCGACCATCCATGCAAAACGCGGCGGTACTAATCGCCCACACCAACCCGATGCTGACGGGACTATTCACCCACGGCTACAAGATCGACAGGTTTTTTCGGAACCCGCAACAACAGGCTGCTACACCGCACGGCAAATACTACCTAAAAGCCGGTACGAACCGGATTTGGGTACCAGCATACCAGCCTTTACGGGAGCTGCTGACGCAGGAGGTTCACGACTCCAACCTTTCCGGGCATTTCGGCACCGACAAAACACTGAAGCTGCTGCAGCGGAATTATTACTGGCCGGACATGCTCACCGATGTGCAGCGCTACGTGTCAACTTGCCCGACCTGCCAAGCAATGAAGTCGTCGCGACAAAGGCCAGCCGGACTACTGCAACCCCTCGAGCCACCCGAACGACCGTGGCAACAGGTGACGATGGATTTCGTCACGGGGCTTCCAGCTGGGACAAGTGGCAACGACTCGGTTTTGGTGGTCGTCGATCGCCTAACGAAAATGGCGCATTTCGCCCCATGCCGAACGACGATCACAGCCGAAGATACAGCCAAACTGTTCATCTCCACCGTCGTACGCCTACACGGGTTACCTTCGGCGATCATCAGCGATCGAGATCCGAAATTTACGTCGAAGTTCTGGCAGGAGACGTGGGCACAGTACGGTACCCGCCTGCAGTTTTCGTCGTCATACCACCCGCAAACCGACGGACAGACGGAACGGACAAATCAGACCGCAAGTGGGAGGATTCGCTGCCGATGCTGGAATTCGCGTACAACAACGCCCGTCGGCCACGACTAGACAATCACCCTTCTTCTTGAATTACGGGATAGACCCCGTGGTACCCTCTTCAACGACAGTGGATAACCCGGTACCACGATCGCAGCAGTTTGTCACGGAACTGCAGACCGCCCGCACAAAAGCAGCTGAGTTCATTCGCAAGGCTAATACCACGGCCAGCTGCCAGGCAGATAAGCATCGACGAAATTTACCCTTCCGCGCCGGGCAGGTTGTGCTTCTGGACACCAAGAATCTCCGACTGCCGCAGCCTGCGAAACTCATTACGGCCCCGATACGTGGGACCATTTCGGATCATCCAGATGGTGACACCTGTCACCGCGAAGCTGCTGCTGCCCGACGACTGGAAAATACACGACGCCTTCCATGTCAGTCTGCTGCGTCATTACGAACAGCCGCAGTCGCCAGCTGTTGCTCGGCCAACCATCGCGCCGACCACACGTATGTCACCGCTGGAACCTTGGAAGATTCTCAACCATCGTGTGGACGTGACTGCCATCGGCCGCTCGGTGAAATTCCTGCTTCGCTGGAAAGAACGCACGAGCGAGGACGACACGTATGTCACCGCTGACTCGCTACTGGGACATCCGGTTGTGGATGCTTACCTGGCCCGCCGAGGTGTCTCGGATATTCACCACCTTTCTTAAGGGGGGGGGTAGTGTAAGGAATTTTTCGGATTCCTTACTGGGTCACACTGTACGCGTACAACCTCAACTTTCGGAAAACCAGGCTCGGTCCGCCGACCTCGCCTTCCGAGCCACTACCGCGTCGCCTTCGGGTTTTCCAACCCCGAACCTGCACCCAACCATCTCGCGACTCCGCGACCTCGGCCTAGCTAGCTTCGCTATATTAGTCCTAGGCCTCGTTGTGTTCTCAGACGTTGTAATCACTTCCGCGTTATTGAATTCTACGCACTCTTTCGTTCACAACTCATAACACTTTAGCAGGGGGATGTGTTGCAGATTCGCTTCCCTTCACATTCGGACCCTGCACTGGATGCGGGTCCAGTCAGCAGGAGCAGTCAGGAGCTGTCAGAAGCTGTCAGAAGCTGTCAGGAGCTGTCAGAGTGGGTGTATCTCCAGCACACGGTGGTGCAAGGGACGGCGGCAGCGACGGCAAGACACGCGGGAGACCTAAGACTAGACGCTGACTAGACATAGCGCGCAGACGGGGAAGAGAAGGGTGCCCCATCCGGTGGTGCCACAGAACGGTGGGGTGGGCAAGCGACCTGCAGGAGCAAGACGCAGCGACTGGACTGGACGCGACTACCTGAGCAGACGTAGCCACCTGGTGAGATGTAGGGAGGAGACAGGGGGGAGGGACAGGGGCAGGGAGTAGGGGCTGCTGCTGCTGCTGCTGCTGCGGCCGCTGCTGCGTACGCAGGCCAGTGTGAAGAGTGTAGAGACCGGAGCCCGGCTCAGCAGCAAAGGTGGCCAGAGGCTGGTAAGAGTCCCCATCAATACACACCGCAGTCTCTCCAGAAGGCTCAAACCACACACCCACGTGCTGACTCACGAGGGGTCGCACGCCCACCAAGTTCTGGGAGAACGAGGGGACGTGAAACCCAGTGAGAGACCCGGAGGGAGCAGCAGGACACGGCAAGGTGGTAGTGTGACGCGCAATGACTGGTCCCGAGGTGGGATCAGCCAGCGCCACAGAGACAGGCGCAGGAAGTGGTGTAAGTGTCGTGCTGTCACGAAAGAAGCAGTGCGAGGCTCCAGAGTCCAGCGTGAAAGACAGTGAAGCGTCCTCCGAGGTAGCCGCTGGACTAGTGTCTACACAAGAAACTACACTAGCAACAGGCAACGGAGCAAGGCTAGCACCTAAGCTAACAACACCAGAGTAAACAGAGTCAGAAACACTAGAGTCAACAACAGCATACATAGCATGAGGAGTTCCAATCAGATCAGCTAACTGCTCGGCAGACATGTCCCACAGAGTGGAGCCGTGACGCTGAACAAGGGGAAGCCAGTCAGGGGCAGGACCGCCAACCCCGTAAACCAAACGAACCGTGTCAGTGAGCTGAGCAAAGCACTGACCAGGGGGGTGAAGGCGGCCACAAGGGTGGCCCCGGCGAGCACCTGTCAGAACCTGATAGGTGCAGGGAGGGTAAACAGCACCACCCTGAGGCTGACGCGGCCCCGACCCCGAAGCCAGCTGCGGCCGCTGCTGCTGCGGAGGCTGCTGGGAGGAGAGGGGCTGCTGCTGCTGCTGAAGCTGCTGCTGACGCTGGGCCCGGTACCACGCCGCTGCTCCACCCACCGGGGCTGGCAGTACAGGGGGCGACTGACGAACTTGGACGTCGCCACCACCAGCAGGCGCAGTGGAGTCACCGGTCGCTGCACGAGACGTCTCTCCAGGCCCTGCACTCCCACCACCGCCAGTCGCAACGCCACCCCCACTACCTCCGCCTCCACCAACGCCGCCACCAGCACCGCCCCTCTTGCCACCCCTACCGCGGGACCGCGACGAAGTCGTAACAACATCTGTGGTCGCGTCAGTAGCGGCAGTGGCAAGAGAGGCAGTAAAGGTGGGCAACTGCGGGACTGTGCACCCGTGGAAGAGTGGGGGGGGCACAGCACCAGAGGCAGCGGCTACGGAGCGGAGGTTGCTCTCGACGTCCTTGAGCGCAGACTCAAGGACCTCAATAGTGAGCTCACTAGGGTGCTTCAGGAGAAGCGCGTCACGAACGGAGGCAAGGCGGTCAGGGAGGCTAGTGGCGATGAAATAGATAGTAATCGCCATGGGAGGAGGAAGCAGTGCAAGTTGTGTCTCAGTGCAAGCAGCGCGGTAACTAGAGTCGAGCGAGCGGAGGTGAGCAATCAAGTCAGCAGAGCGCTCAAATGAGGCGAGATCAGGAAACAGGAACGGGAGGAACAGGCGGCCAAGAGAGACAGCAGCGGGAGTAGAGTAGCGGGCCTTAATCGCAGTCAGGTACTCAGCAGCAGTGCGAACCTGAGTAAAGTGGACCTCCTCAGACTCAGGGAGGAGGGTGCTGAGCGCGATGCAGGCCGCAGCGTCACGCGACGTCCAAGCTGTCAGGTCAGCGCGCTGGCTGGCAAAGTGGGCTCTAGCGGCATCATTAGGGGCAGGGCCTAAAGGCGTAGGTTCGGGGGGCGCAGGGAGGGCACCAGTAGCGTGCGCCCAGAGGGTCTCGCCTGACTGGACCTGACTCTCTAACTGACGGCGAGCACTCAGAAACCAGAGTGAAAAGTCAAGGGGTCTACCGTCAGCGTCGAAACGAAGAACACGCGGAGTCCCCATAGCTAAAACTGACGGAAAAGCGGAGGCAGAGCACAGCGGCAGGCAAATGGCAAACTAGGGCGGCACCCTAGTGAAGGAGAGGCGCGGCCGCAGAGGAGACCAGCAGCCGCGATTGGCGGGGGGAGCGGACGCTACGGCAGACGCGACAGCGGGCGGCGACAGCGGGCGCAGCAGCGGGCATCGGCAGCTCGCGCGGCGGGCGACGGCATCGCGCGCAGCGGCGGGTGACGGGAGTGGGCGCAGCGGCGACGTGCGCGGGGGCGGGCAGCGGCGGCGGGCGCAGCGGCGACGGGCGCAGGCTCGGGCACAGCGGCGGGTGACGGGAGTGGGCGCAGCGGCGGCGTGCGTAGGGGGGACGGGCGACGGTACGACGGGCGGGGAGAGCGCGACGCGACAGGGGCAGGGGAAGGCGCGATTGGACGGGCAGTGGGGGGGAAAGCGCGACTCGACGGACAGCGGGGGGAAAAACACGACTCGACGGGCAGCAGGGGGGGGAAACGCGACGGGCAGCAGGGGGGGGGGGGGGGGGAGAAGATCGCTACGCTACGAGAGCATTGGATCGGCGGAACGGGCGGTAACGAAGGAACGCGACTAGAGCCGGCCGGCGCTAGGCTCGGGCAAGACGTGCGCAACGAGTACGAAAGAGTGAGACAGGCTCGGGCGATACGAACGAGGTCGGGAGGAGCGGGATCCCACAGGATCCGAACCTAGGTGATGCCATGTCAAGCTGAGAAATGAGTGATGCATTGATGTTGGTTGGGGTACATATAACAAACCCTAACTTTTGTACCCCCTAAGACAAACCTCACTACAGGCTACAACATTTGACAGTTTCGTACTGAAATATCTACCCTGACCGATCCCATGTCATGGGAAATTCTCAATCTTATGTTTGTCTCATAAAGCCCGCTACGAAATGTGCAGGTCAAGTTTCCAAAGCCCGAAGCAGTGGAGTTTGCAAGCTTTGAAAAGAAGCGTGTGTGCAATTTGGGACTTCAGATGATTGATCCACTCACAAGCGGGAAAAACAAGGGCTGGCTGGTTCTTGCGAAAAGAACGACTTTGACGAAATTGAAAACTCTCGCCAAAACCCAGACCATAAAAACCCCCTCTCATCAACTTTTAAGAGCATGAATGTGAGAGTACGACGGCTTATGCTTGTTATTCATGCTTGCTATTATTTCCTTACGCTATTTCTAGCTTAGGTTTATTTTCTGCATGCATGAATTGCTTGATTCCTAGGCTAGGTGCTTTCCTATATTTTATATAGTTATAAGCACCGTGCTAGGTTACACCGAATTCGGAGCTATTCGGTTGCCACCGAAATGCTTTCTACCGAATTCGGGAAGGGTCTGTTTGGGACGCTTCGCGACCCGCAGAACCTTCGCGTAACACCTGGTTACTGCCCCTTATGTCGAGCCTATATATAGCCTCGTGTTGTACCCAGGTGATCATTCAATTTACATTCTCATTTCTGAACTGGATCCTCGATCCTCACAATGAACAATTTGGGCCGACGCGTTTAACTTTCTGAAGCTGTTCTTGAGTGTATTCGATGTAGAACGTATTTGCAACTTCCTCTGAGCATTCCATTCCCACTTCTGCAAGGAACCGAAGACCATACATACGTTCGTTCCGTGCCTTCCGAATCATCATCCTCTCATCCCAAAATTCACAGCGCAAAAATCACTTTCGAAATCGAGGGGGACCCCAAGGTCACCCTCACGAGGTAACCCTTA